CTTGATGCTGCAGCTTCTTTAGATGAAAGGTGAATGGAAAGGAGTGACCTTCAAGGAGGAGAAAGACCAATAACATACTTCTGTAAGGTAACTAAAAATTCAACTCAAGTATTATCTAACGAAGTCCCATAACATGCTTAACAGGAACCTCAGTCATTATACTCATCACTGACAAAGTGCTTTACATAAGCAAACTTTCTGGTAAGTTAGTAGGAGATGCTGATCCATAACCACAATAGGTATCAGATGCTTTGATAGCGCTGAGCAAAATCTGAGATGCACAGAAAAACGCATGCTCTCTTTCAGGACACTATCTCACGTATAGGATTAGATTGCACAAGAATATGTGCAAATTTATTTTCTGAAACTAATATGACACTGAAAATCAACTATGCTTCATAAAAAGTATACTTACCAATAAATAAATAAAATCATTTTAAACTCTGGGGGGGATTAAAATGAAGTGAAAGTCGCTCAGTCGTGTCCAACTCTTTGCAACCCCATGGACTGTATAGTCCCTGGAACTCTCCAGGCCAGAATACTGGAGTGGGCAGTCTTTCCCTTCTCCAGGGGATCTTCCCAACCCAGGGATCAAACCCAGGTCTCCCACACTGCAGGCAGATACTTTACCAGCTGAGCCACAGGGGAAGCCCTTGCGGGTAACACAGTAGCACAGTAAGTATACTCAATGTCAACACAGCCTCATCATGCTTCATGTGAAAGAGAGAACACTGGTACCCGGTAATATCATGTGGTGGTTGACAGTCCTTAGAGAACTTGTACTTCCATCTTCTTTGGTTTGTGAAACAAGATGTATTATCTAGTGTTCATATCTGCCAAAAATGTATCAGCAATACCTTGTAAAATATGTAAGAAATTAATTGACTATATCACAGAACTTTAAACACACTAATTTTCTAACATCGCTATTTACAAATCCAGAAAATAAGCTAAGTTTCCATTCGTATCATTTTTATGAAGATGCAATTATAAGAATAATTCAAGTAAGAACATTAGAACTAGTTGAGGCAAAGTATTACAAATGAAAGCTATAAGCACTTGGGAAACATACAGTACAGCACAAAACAGTTAAGTATCATCATTATTGCTCTCCAAATGATGGAAAATACCAAACTATAAAAGGGATAAAACACAAAAGTGTGGGTAGAATTTCTAACAGAAAGGCCATTGTTTACCCATAAGTCTCGCACTTTAGAAGTAGGGACACCTGCCAGGTAATTAAATACACCCACATGCAGAGTGTTCCATTGCTTTTTTTTTTTAATGTTAATTACCACCATTTATTATAATCATCAACAGGTAATTTTCTAAGCAATGTAAGATCAGCATTGGAATTGAAGAAAGCGAAACAGTCACCACTCAATTTAGTTCAAGTCACCACTCTTGGATCATCAGTTGCACATGTGCAGCTCACAAGGAGAAATTGTTGAGTGTCAAGATTTACTCTGCATACTTTTGCCTGCATAGTAGACTTGATGGACATGAGTTTGAGCAAGCTTCGGGAGTTGGTGATGGACAGGGAAGCCTGGCATGCTGCAGTCCATGGGGTCGCAAAAAGTCGAACATGACTGAGCGGCTAAACTGAACTGAACTCAGTGATGCAACTACTGTAGAGTCAAGGGCAGTAACTGCACGGAAGCAGAGATAAATTACACTGCTCAGTGAGATTAAGTTTAGTAGGGTGTAACTCATCATTTCTTCATCCTGCACCCAAGCCAATTTGGCTTTACACACCCATTATATCTCCAAGTCCAATTAGGTGACATCTATCTTTAAGCATTTAAGCCCCTCTATAAGCCTTTGTCTTTAAGCTTTTATAATATTGATACTATTGGAAATTTATTTTTTAATGCCACAAACAAGTATGAAACTTCTTCCTCGTTAGGACAGAAATAAACTGTTTTGAATAGATTTGTAAGGCTAAGACTCTCCATACTAGAAATCCTCAAACCCAGCGATATTTTATATCACAGTATAGCACTCAGACATATTAAATAGGCATATATATATATATATATACACATATATTTAGGACAGACATATTCAAAACACATACTAAAAGACATATTCAGTGAGTTTCATGAAACATGTCTTACCTCTACTATATATGAGATCTTCCAGTATTTTCTATTTCTTTTTTTATATTGCTAATTCGATTTTACCAACCCACTAATTGGGCAGCAACCAGATTTTGGAAAACATAGCTCCCTCTAGACAAATATCAATTCAGTTCTTCATAAAAATCACTCCAGTAAGTATCGGTATGACATTCCCAGCAGATGACACAAAAAAGACACCTCAAAAGAGGTGAATGACAGGTGAATAGGACTAGACCTGAAACATGAATGAGACGGACAGCAGCATGTCCAGAGCAGAGAAGCATGCGCTGCACTTCTCTAAAAGCACATGGGTCGCTTATCACCATATTGGAAGGACTGTGTAACAGGAGCTTGGACAGGAAAATGGAAACTTAAACATGACTTTGTTTTTTTCTCATTATGTAGGCAAAACATTTTAAGTGATAATATCTCATGTTGGAAAAGGATGTGGGAGAATGTATTTGCGGTTATTAGGACTACAATTTTGTATAGTGGTTTGGGAAAGCAATTGGGAGCATATAACTAAATTTTAAATATGCATACCCTCTTGACCAAGCAGTTCTAGTAATTTGTGCTAGGCTCTTACAAATGTGCGCGCACACACACACACACTTAAAGTCACTGACCAGGAAGGAGAAAATATTTATGATATAATCACATTTTTTAATTATAAAAAGAAATGTGAAAAAGACAAGGTATTTCTATATCACTGTTTCTCGATGAGATTGGCAGTCTGGGCAGGATATTTTGTCATAAAATGGCTCCCACAATTGATGCTGATGTATGGCAGAAATCAAACCAATATTGTAAAGCAATTATCCTTCAATTAAATAAATTTTATAAAAGCTCCCTGTATAGTTAAAAAACACTCCCTAGCAATAACCTCAGATATGCAGATGACATCACCCTTATGGCAGAAAGTGAAGAAGAACTAAAGAGACTCTTGATAAAGATGAAAAAAGAGAGTGAAAAAGTTGGCTTAAGCACAACATTCAGAAAACTAAGATCATGGCATCCAGTCCCATCACTTCATGGCAATTAGATGGGGAAACAGTGGAAACAGTGGCAGACTTTATTTTGGGGGGCTCCAAAATCACTGCAGATGGTGATTGCAGCCATTAAATAAAAAGACGCTTACTCCTTGGAAGGAAAGTTATGACCAACTAGACAGCATATTAAAAAGCAGAGACATTACTTTGCCAACAAAGGTCTAACTGAACTGAGGGGAGGGTGGTAGGGTGGTACCATCTTTGGTTTAGAAACATTTCTTTGGAATAGAAAACCACTATTCCACGTGTATTCTGGAGAAGAGAGTCAAAAAAGATGTCACAAGAAAAAAAAAAAAACAAGTTGCAGAACCACACACAGAGAGAGTATGACTGTAACGATGTGAAAATGAACCCGCCACACCAGTGTGTGTGCAAGGGAATGCAGTTAATCGGGGGACCAACGAAAGGGTTTACAAACCCTGCTGTACAAGCCCTGATATTGTTTGATTTTAAAAAGAATTTCTGTATTCGGGGTTTACTTTTATTAGGTTCACAGTATTTTATTTGGGGAAACTAAACTCCAGAATATATTCACACATCTTCAGTGGCTGTTTTGAAAACTAGGATTGAGCAGAATCTAGGAAAGAGCTATAAAACCAGGAGGAAAAGAGAATAAGAGGAATCAACATGCTTCTAATGACATGTCTGAGTCATAAAAGTTCTTTTCCTTTCCTATTAAAGTGATAAGATCTGTCTTTACTATGCTAATTAAATGTACATAAAAAGACAATTAAAGCACGAAAACTGAACAACATTACTGGAGTTTTAAGTCCACCCTGTTGCTCTCTTCCCACAGTACACGTAAAAGTATGACCTCTGACCTCTATATCCCGCTTGTATTTCATGCTTGCCTTTACTCTGGTCAGCAGCTGGTCCCCCGCCGCCCCACCAGAGGGGAAGCTCTGTGAGGCCAGAGGCCAGATCCCATCCCCTGCATGCTCCACTCTCCCTTGAAAAGCTCCTGCTCAGTAAGAGGCTGCTGAATAATAATTTTTTTAAACAAACCTGTGAAACAAATATCTAATTTGGCACGAGTTTATAGCTTTCAGATAAGTCAGAGGAAAATGGATTATATTCAACAGCAACAGTGGAACATAAACTTACAATTGGTCTTTCCTCCCTACTATAATGAATACTGTTTTTGCACTTCAATAACTTTGACACTAAAAGAATTAAGCAAAGCCACATGACATGCCATCATTTTATGTAAGCAATTATTCAAAAAGATCACATTCAAATAAAATTAGTGGAATATTAATAACATTCTCCTGCACACACTGTGTGCCGATCCAGAACCCATTCTCCCCCGCTTTCTTACTAACTCCACACCAAGCACTTCCCAGGGCAGCCACATGCCCAGATGAAAACACAAGACCCTTCCCTTGCATGTAGTGATGGACACTCATAGTTCTTGCCAATGTGATGCAGGCCGAAGTCACCTCCCCCCAAAACTCTAGGGAGGAACTCCCATGACCAAGGTGGGCTCCCCAACACAAGAAGAGCATGGTCCCCACCAACGCTGGTAAGAAGCTGTGTGACCCCAAGCCTACCTGCCTGACCTTCTGTTACTTGAGAAAAACAAATGTTTGTTTCATCCCAGGGCAGGGGTTTTTGATGACAGCATTCCCAGTGATATACTATCTATGGGAGTGGAAATTAGCAATGCACTCAGTGCTGAAACCTGTTTCTGAGACTCTAAGTTTGCTGCTCCAACTCTTGGCCACCCCATGGATGGCAGCACACCACACAGAATGAGGAGTGAGGTCAGGCGAAGCTGCTCACGCCCGCTGTGATCACACACACAGGCACACGGGTGATCTGCTCCTATCACTCACCCCGAAGGAGGGCTGGCATTCTGCTTCCAAGCTGGTACACAACAAGGAGGTTCCCCCTCTTCTGGCAACTTCTTTAGGAGCTGAAAACTTTCTGGATCACATCAGTAGCACATCCTAATTAGCCAACTAAGAAAACATGATTAAGACACCCAATGCAGGTTCTCAACACCACTGTCTTTAGAGGACAACCCTGAGGAAAAGTTTGTTTCCTTACAGCCTATGTTTAAATTACCCATTCCTCATTCATCAGTTGCAATAATCAATTCTCATTTATAGAGGATTTCAGCCTTACTGTTGCTTCAGTCTGTAAGCACTGTCTTCTACCCTATAAACACACACACACACACTCTTCTCTCTTTCTTACGTTTCACCTCACAGATGCTATTCTCCCATCTGAACTGGATTCCACGCTGACCATACTCATGCATGACTGGGCAATCACACTCACTAATGAGTTGCTTGAGAGGGCTGCAAGATTTACAGACAGCAACATGAAGGTACCTCTATTAAGGTGCCTGAAAAAAATCAATACAGGCTTTGCTCCATCCGAAGATCAGAGCTTATAGAACTGTGGTTGCTGGGGGGTTTTTTACTTACATTTTAGTTATCCTGCAATTTTTTAAATTCATATACATTTTATAAGCAAATTACCAGAGGCCTTTGATAACATCAGAAACTCAGAGTCTTCCTCACAAAGAGGTTAAAAAAAAAAATTCCACCTAATGAGGGCCTATTAATACCCATGCATCTTATGTCTTGGCATAATGTCAGAACTAAAACCAATGGTTAATTTTTAAAAATAATATAAATTATCAAATATGAGAAAATTTAGGTTTCATTTCTCACATCTGTATTGTAAGAAAGATTTACCTTTTATTACATTTGGTAACAGCAATAAAGATAAGAAACACCAAGGCTGATCCACCCTGTTGCTACGAAAGAATGTGTTTCACTTCTTCACAGAATTTGGAAGTTTCTAAAATGTCCCTGGACTATCTGGAGAATGAACGAAATCTAGATAAAGAAAAAGTCTATAAATAACTGCAATGAGAAAACTGCAAGAAAAGAAATTTTAAGATAGACTTCGGAAATTTTTTTTTAATTTAAAAAATTTTACAAGTTTTTTAAAAATCCAAGTATCTGGTAAAGACTATCTTGGCAAAAATCTTTTACTATCTACAATCATCTCCTAAAACAGAAGCTTCTGGCTATGCTTGAGTTCAATTATGATCCATACAAGTTCCTTTAACTTTCAGTTCAGTTCAGTCGCTCAGTCGTGTCCGACTCTTTGCGACCCCATGGACTGCAGCACACCAGGCCTCCCTGTCCATCACCAACTCCCGGAGTTCTTTACCTTTAACTTTAAATGGTACTTATAAGAACTTTAAGTTAATTTGACTAAATCTACTCTAATGACAAGAGGATTCATGGGGCTACCAGGAAGGAGCAGAATTTTGAAACTGTTTCTTTAATATGTACAGTTGTAAATACAATGGGTATGTCCCATACTATGACTACAGTGGTACACACTGGAGTAGCTAGTCAACATTTACATATACTGACAAAGGGCAAGAGAATAGGAAAGCAGCTTGAGATAGCTGCTCAAATTCCTAACTTTTATCTCACAAAATCACTTTCATACTTCCCCTGACTACTAATGAAAATATAAATAAATTTAAGACATTTCTGAGCAGCAGCTGTGAAAGAGAGTATTTCTCTACCAAGATAATCCTGGGCATCTCCTATCAAATTATGGATCTGGAGTTAAGAGAATGATATTCTCAGATCTAACGACTGACTCACTGAGGATTCAAGAGCCCAAGAATTACAAAAATTCCCAGCATTAAAAATTCTTCATGACATTTTATTATGTTAATTGAACAGAATCTTGAATCACGCAAGTTAATTAAGAGAGTGAGTTATTTTCCCTGCCATACCCTTTCTGAAATACATAACTTGTATGATATCCTTTTTTCACATAATGTCTCACCTTATCCTTCCTTCTTTATTGATTCAAAATACTACATCTTGTGTTTAAAAAAAAAAAAAAAAAAAGTCTGCATGATTGAAGACCCTGAACCCCAGGAATTTTTACCTGACAGTTTTAACCCCAACTAGCAACAGGAACACACCTACATAATTCCCCTTTTGCAGCAGCAAACTCAGGGGCAGCTCTCTGTTTTTAGATTATCTGTCTATTGTCCATTTCTTCTACCTCTTAATTAGGCTACGCTGGAACATCTAACACTTCAGTTAGCTACAACTTGAATCTGAGCACAGAAAATTTCAGACTGGTGTGTGTCTTTGTATTTCCATTTGAATATTTAGTGAATCAAATGCATAAACCTGATTACACAGAAATTTTCTTTTATATAAAAGTACTCCTTCCTTGAACTCTGGTAAAGAAAAATATAGGACTCTGGCCAAAGGCACAGAAAGGTAGATTTATTCAGTTACACATACCCCCTTAATTTATAGCTACCATGGGAACTACTTTAAATTTATCCATGTGTTTTCAAAATTCCAAAAAGTGTTTAATGATCTTCAATCAAAAAATAAAAATGGTTAAATGGGAGAAAATTTTAATTTGTCACATTATGGATTTACCTTTTACTATACTTATTAACTGCAGTAAAGAGATAAGATATATCAGGACTGACCTTGTGAAACTGTCTTCATTTTCCAGCCAGAAATCTGAAGTTTCTAGAATGCCCCCGAGCTTCATGGAGAAAAAAATTAAATCTAAGTAAGAAAATGAGTCTTGAATAATTTCAAAGAGAAAACAAATCTACTGCTTGAATAAAACTGTTTTTCAAAAAAATGATGTTAGAATAAATGATGGGCTTTTATATTAAATGAAAGTAGCTTTATGAACAATGACAAAACCAGAAATAACTACCATAACTTTCATAATTTTCTCTGTCCTAAAGTTTTCTGAATTATCACAAAGTAATATTACAAATATAGCTTAATTGTAATCCATGAGAAAAATTCAATTTGAGACTACAAGAGTACTCTTTCAATATTTCTTATCAGAGATGAATTAAGATACTGAGATGTGATCCTGGTTCTTGGGAAACCATTATTTTTAACCGATAGTTATATCATTTGTAATTGTTTGGAATTTTATGACAATATAACATGATTTGATGTGCTATTATTCATTCTCCAGGATTGGGGTTGGAGATAGTTCATTTGTCTTCATAATGTATTATGGTTCCTTTAAGGATTCAGAGTCTTTTTGACTTGCCTCCTCCCATCAATTTGCATTTCAAAAAAACAAGTGAGTCACTCATGAATGCTGCAAGACTGGCTACTCATATTCTGGATGCTTGAGCATTCTGTTCAAACAAGCATGGATACATGACAACTATTAATTTATCTGGATAGAATCACTAATAGGCTTAACAGGTTGAACAAGATCTTACGCAGAATATAAGACTTAAGAAAAAACAACCCATCCTAGGAGGTAAAAAAAAAAAAAACACCACCACCCAATCAGTCACTTACACCCCTGTACATATTGCAAGAATGCCATTCATGGAACTCTATGTCACTGGAATTAATCTATGTTGGTAAAATTTATTTGGAAGGTACTTAGGTAACATATTGCAAAAACCTTTAAAAATAAAGCTGGTTACCAGTGACCAGGGATTCCCCAACAACTCATTGGTAAACAATCTGCATGGAACGCAGTAAATGCGGGTTCAATCCATGGGTCAGGAAGATCCTCTGGAGAAGGAATAGGCAACCCACTCCAGTATTCTTGCCTGGGAAATCCATGGGGAGAGGAGTCCATGGGGTCTCAAAAAGAGTCAGACACGACTTAATGTCTAAACAACAAGTGATCCAGAAATTTTACTTTTAAAAATTCATGTTTAGGAAATAATTGTCATGTATAGAAAGATACATTGTACAAACATATGCACTTAGCCCATGTTTAAGACAGAAAGGAAGAACAAGGAGAAGGGGAGGGAGGAAAAGAGGAGGAGAGAGATTAAATGTCCAATAATAAGGGGACTGATTAAGTAATATATATTTCCCTATAATGCAGGTAGTATACAAGTAGTAAAAAATGTATAGTTAAATAACAGCAAAAGATGACATGACATGTTTACTTTTAAAAAGGTAAAAATCAGTCTACACAGTATGCTATCACTGCACATATCTGAGTATACTAAAAATTTTAAGTCAGTCTATCAAAAAAAAGTTTATTTTTTTGTGGGTAATAAGATTATAAGCATTTGTTTCTTGGTGCTCTATGTTTCTTTGAAAATGTATTTAAGAAATACTTTAAAGTCCAGCTTTACCTAGCCATGACTGGAAGTCATATCTGAGTAAATATTTGATAAATTGAAAAACAAACACTGATTAGATAATGGTTGGCTGTGGTAGCCAAGTGACCATAATACATATCACACCTGCCATCCAATACAAGACTATAAACCAGAAGATGCTGCCAATGTGCTGGCCAGCCTCTCTGGTTCTTTCTGGTCACACTTTCCATTTTAGTGTATCTCCTTTTGAGTTCTTTCTAGTATCGGTCAGAGGTAAACTCTTTAACTGAATAGACATACTGAGACAAATTCTTGTGTGCCCCCTAGGCTGGCTACCCAAGCTACACAAGCTAGTAGAAGCAAGTCATAGGTTGCAGGAAGCTCACAGATTCATTTAGGAAATAGGCACACATGCCAACAATTACAATAATATAATGCCCAGGAGAGGCACACACCAGGTACTGACCGAGCCAAGAGCAGAATCAGAAACTTCTGAGAAGCGGAGAATCATCTGTCAAAAGACTCAGAAGCCAGCATGACACTAAGTGCTAAACAACAAGCTCAGTAAATAGAAAATACAACTTGACTCTAGCTATGTTAAAATCTGTATTAGTTAGGGTTCTCCAAAGAAATAGAACCAACAGGCTGTGTGTATGTATGCATGTATGTGTGTGTGTGTGTGTGCATGTATGCATGTGTCCATCCATCTATCTAGAGACGTTTATTTTAAGGAATCGGTTCATGTGGTTGTGGGGGCAGCCAAGTATGAAATCTGCAGGTCGTGCTGGAGGCCCAGGGAGAAGCTGACATTGCAGTCTGGAGGCAGAACTGCCTCTTCCTTGGGGAACATCAATCTTTATCTTAAGACCTTCAAGCTGATAGGATGACAGCTGCCAAGCCCATTGTGGAGGGAAATCCACTGTACTCAAAGTCTACTGATTCCAGTGTCCATCACATCTAAAAAATACCCCAACACCTGGACATGTGTCAGGTCAAACATCTGGGCACCAGAGCCTAGCCAAGTTGACACAGAAAATGAATCGTCACCAATGCCAAGTCAGAAAAGTGGAATAGCAAACAGATCCAACAAAATTAGCGGTTCTTGGGCCCTTCATCCTCGTTTTGTCAACTTTCCATCTTCCCTTTGCTCTCACCTGAATTCAGTGTTCATTTCTCAGTCCTTGTGTCTACTGCCCTGGCTGTGAGAGGAGGAGGGCTTTCAGAAACCCAAGGCCTCTGCACTATGCCAAGACTGAGAGTGATTGAGCTTTCCAACGAGGCAGAATCTAAGTGATTCTTGGAGTGCTTTACTCCTAGGGCTTCATCGCTCACCTTCACATAGATTAAACACAAAATTCATTTCAAAAGAACTCATGTTGCCAACAATATTCTACTGAACATTCCTCTGCAGCTTAAGCTCTACAAGTCAAAAAGCTAACGAGACTGTCCAACAAAACCAGTTCCTCCTTCCTGGCTTAACATCGCCCATAGTGGCATGACCATCCTACAGGCCACCCACCCTCCACACCTGTTCAGCAGGCTTGTCCTCTGCCCCTTTCCATCAATGCCTAACACAGTGCCCAGCATGTCACATTGCACAAGTAGTTGAATGAATACACGGATGTTGCACCTAGTCAGTTGTCATTCTGGCAAATTCTATTTCAAAATGTCACCTCCTTTCTTTTTCTATTATCATTACACAAATACAAGCCAGACGGCTTTAACCTCACTCTTGTTTTTCAACTCCTGTCTCAGTTTTCCATTGCATCTCATACACAACACCACTTAATCAGAGGTATAATCCTATTCCACTTCTATTCAAACACCAGGAATTCCCCCATTGCCCAGTGAACTTAGCACCAAGTTTTTTCACCCAGTGACCAAGTCCTTCCCAGTGTAAGCCCCAGGCGCTCTCCACAGTTATCCCCACTACTGTATTCAGTCAAGAGTTTAACATACACAGTCTAGCTGGGGATGAAATGATTGGTAAAACAACAGTGCCTGCTCTCAAGACACTTGATCTGCAAGGAGCCACAGTAGGGAAAGCACATGACACTACATGCAGCAGCATGAAGATGGCTATAGGGTGCCCGGAGGATGCAGGAGAGTGGAGAGGCCCAGAAGGATGGGACAGAACACACAGCTCAAATGCTACCTCCTGGCAGAAGCTGGTAGATTTAGCCAAGCGGACAAACTGTAGAAAAGCCCATGCAGAAACAGCAGCCATTACAATTTGGAGGGTGAAAGTCAACGATGAATCAAAGTACATTTATTTAATTAAAGATTCAGGAAAATCATCTGTTACAACTAAATACAACTCAACAGCACATTGAGTACAATGTCTAACTATACAGTAAGGAGACGAATTAAACACACACATACACACCCTAAGAACTGTTATATCCAGATCAATATCATCTTTAGAAATGATCTTGAGATATTTATTTCAGGAATAACTCTGGAAATTATCACTCTATGTCAAAATTTTCATTATGTGAAGAGCTTAACACATAACTTATCACCAGATTTCTTGCCATATAATTATGCCAAAAATGAATTCCATGCCCTTCAAGATACAGTTAGCACAGGGAACTCTCCTCAGTGTTATGTGGCAGCCTTGGATGGGAAGGGAGTTTGGGGAAGCACTGGATATATATATATATGTAATAGCTGAATCCCTTTGCCATCCACCTGAAACTATCACAACATTGTTAATCAGCTGTACTCCAATACAAAATAAAGGTTAAAAAATAAAAATTAAAATAAATAAATAAATAAAAATTTATCAACAACATGTAACAATAAAAAAGGGGAGAGCTTCACAGTAATGCCAGATATTGTCAACACGGCTACAGAACAAGGTGGGTACAAGGATGGTCAAAGCATCATGGCTTGAGATGGTAAAAACTAAAAAAAAACCCAAATGTCTATCTCTAGGGGGATGACAAAACGATGTGGCAGGAGCTGTGAGGACAGACATGAAAATGCTGACTGTGATTCTTTCTGAAGAGGGAAGTGGGACTAGTGAGCATGGGGAATAAAACCCTATACCACTAACACCTTTTCATTAAAAATTTCATCATACAACTAATACCTGAGCACAAACCAAAAATGTAAATGTGCTAACAGATTCCAGATTCAATTTTTTAAAAATTCAACAAAGTTTTTAACAACACTAACAACACTGGATGAAAGACGTACTCTCTCAAAGTAACTATTACGAAAAGAACGTGTGTGCATGCTTAGTTGCTCGGTCATATCTGACTCTTTGCAACTGTAGCCTGCCAGCCTCCTCTGTCCATGGGATTTCCCAAGCCAGGATACTGGAGTGGGCTGCCATTTCCACTTTCACCTAAATGCAGTGCTGTGTTTAGTCACTCAGTCGTGTCCGACTCTTTGCAACCCCATGGACTGGAGACCACCAGGCTCCTCTGTCCATGGG